ATCAAGTTACTGCAATTTTATACCGTTCAGAATAAAAGACTGAATTACAAGTATCTGTTCAATGTTTACCAGAAAACACAAAACAGGATTTGAGGAAGTACTAGTTTTCAGAACTACATTTTCTAAAGTCAAACTCATAGATTTGGGAGGGTTGGGTGGGAGGGAAGTGGGTGGCTTTTTGTTTAAAACAAATACAACAAATGAAGACATTTTGCTTCACCTCATGTTAGTATCACAGCATGAAGAGATCCATCTTTTTCCATGATGTTTGCATGTCCTGTAAAACTTTCAAAAGACAGACAAGATCATCAAGCTGCTACAGATGAAGATCCTTTTTGCTCCCTCAACCTCCTTGAGATCTTACTGCTTTCTTGACTGACATCTCCTCCCCACATCTCAAAGAACTAGATCTTCTCTGTTTTCTTCTACCCTGATCCCATCCACCCTGAGAAAACAGGGAAAGTGATCTAGGAAAGGCAGTGGAAACATAATACAGCCCCAGAAAAGAGACCAGGGAGCACTGAAAGAGAATCTGAAGAGCAAGATTAATTGTTAGGCAGGATGACAGTTTTGGCAATGACAACCTTCTGAAATAGGGACCAAAACCATATTCAAGACTGTAATGGCAGACAATACCAGCTGTTATATGCAGAGAATAGACGGAGAATGAATGTTAGGAAGTTTGGAAGGACATAAGTCTATTCAGCAGCAACACCACTGCAGTGACACTGGCAAGCTCTTTAGCTAAACATCATCCTTCAGCTCAACTCAAACACTGACTTGATAAAATGTTTCACAGCAAGTCCTTGAGATCAGATCATTTCAAATCCTAAAATGGGGAAGAGTTTTCTCAAAACATCTACAGAGACAGCAAGTCAGGTCACATGCTTAAAACCTGTTCCCTCAGAAGCCAAAACACAACTTCTGGTGCCTCAGGCTAGTGTTTAGGATAAGTAGGGTAAAGCCAGGCCTAAGGTTATATTTACCCAGCTGAAAGTAAATAGACCCATGTTTGTCTGTCCAGGGCTCAATCCAGAAGAAGCCATATTACTGCAATGCTTGCACACTCTGCCTTCCAGCAGTTTTGTTTCTACAGAGGTAGAAACACTAACACAGCTTCCAAACCGGTATGGTCTTCTAGCCTACGAGCTCAGGGCAGCTGAAGACAGCTTCAATCACTGTCTGCAGGTATTTCCTCATTCTCAGAAGTAAAGGGGTTCTTGAAAGCCATCAGGAAAGCAAAACAAAAGCTAGGGATAGAAATTGGTACCAGATAGTGAAAAAAACTAATTTTTATAACCAGAGACATGAGACATCTACTGCCAGAGCTCCAAAGTCAAAGCTGGTTTTGCATTCTGAGGCACCACCAGGCTTTTTGAAAGCTGTTAACACTGTTTTTCTAAATATGTCTAACTGGGAGAGATGAACAAGCCAGCAGTATCTAAAAGACACCAGGTTGAAGATCTATTAGTGTTATCATCACCAGCTCAAGAGAGCCTGCAGATGTAACGGGGTAGGATACAATCCCCCCACTATCCCATAACCCCTCTTCTTTTAAAGGAGGGGGGGCAGGAGATAAAGATACTGTTCAAAGGCTTTTAGAACAGAGTTCTTTTAAAAGTGAAAAGGATAAATACCTCAAGAACACAAGGTATAAGTTAAAAGCTTAATTTAATTCCCTTGCCCAGTCTGCTCTGTCCCACGTCACAGCACAACTGAGAGGTTTGGAGTGCACATCTCAGCCACCTCCTCCGTCCATCTGCAATTAGCCCGGCCAGCCCTCACAACTCACCAGAATACACAGCAACTCAGGTGTTGAGAGTAAGATCTCACCAATAGTTAGTCACCTTATCTTCCTCTAAGAACCAGTAAACTTTATTATTCAGTTAGCAAATTGTTCCATTTAACTGGTTTTGTTTTACTAACGTTGTGGCAAGAGACCATACACCGACTTCTATTCAGTTTATATTATTTAGAAAATAGACATACATGCACTTAGAGGTGGTTTTAATATAGAAAGACATAGTAAGATGTTCGGTACCCAATAGTCACACAAGAATAAAAGACGAAAGTCATCACATATTTATGCAGGAAATCTAAGAGAATGATATTAAGAAACATTTACCTCACCCATGATAGTCCCATGCCAGGGACATTATAGTATAAACATATCCATTAATCTGTCTCATGGAGTTTTCAGCTGATGGAAAACTTATTTCAGAATTAAAGCTTCTAGTGACAGAAGAGCTTGCAAAACATGGACTAACTTCCTTCTGAAGTTGATGCAAAGCACACTAATCAAGACAAGTTACTTCATGAGAATGTCAGGAGAGGGAATATATAAAAATATGCATCAAGACATACTTCGTTTTTAAAGGTTTGTCACATTACAATTACAAATTTTCTTCTTACTGAGTCCTAATGATTTCTTGCACCTTTTTCACTTCTATATCTTCACTAATAGAATTTAAGAAGTTCCACTTTTTACTGCATCATCCCACCTGTGTTATGTCCCATGAAAATTACACAGAAGGTAACTACCTGAAGAATTTACTCATGGAGTGCAAACATCCAAGAAAATTTTTAAAGCTTGAAGTAGACTTATCTTACAAAGGCCAAAATTTGAAAAGAAGTTAAGATTTAACCACCCGAAATCCAGGGTAAAGAAATGCAGTTCTCATGGGAGTTTTCCAACAAGTTAATCAGTAAGTTATACCATTAAGCAAGAAAATTGAGTCTTCTACATTCAACTAACATTAATGCAACCAATACCTTATTTTTTAAGTAATCAAAGTCAGTACACTTGCCTTCATAAGTTACAGTTAATACATTTTGTCCTTCCAGGTTCAGCTACGCTAGGCAATGTTTCTGAAGTCTAATACGGTTCAGCCAGAAAGTAATCTGCTCGTTGCTGAAATAAGGTTGTGAGTCTAGAATCAAGATTCTTTCATTATATTCCATCACTCTCCTATAAAGAGAAAATTAAAGACTAATTCAAATAAGTTGCCTGCCCACTTCCATTGTGTATCAGTTAACACTTTGAATCAAACTAAAATTTAATGCTATGGTTTGATGAGCTGACTTAAATAGTGCCAGCCATGTTTCACATGTACAATTTGTTATCCATGGGCATGCTGCAGCAATTTAGTTTATTTTTATTTATATACATAACAACTACATGTTAAGAGACATCAAGAGGGCTAAGGGAACATAAAATAGTACCAAAAAGCTCAAGGTACAATGTTGCTGTTCGGAGACTATCAACACAACACTGCTGTCTTCAACTACCTGAATGGAACACACTCTCTGAGGTCCGCGTGGAGGACAAGAGGCAAGAGACTGAAGCTGCAAAAATAAAAATTCCAATTTGGTATTGGGAAAGAAGTTGCACAATGAGGGTAATTAACATTGTAGCAAGTTACCCAAAGAGACCAGAAGTGTTTATCCAAAACTCAACTGCACAAATCCTGAGCAAGATGATGTGAGTGGGTTGGGCCAGATGACTTCCACTGATCCTTTCCAACTCAAAATTACTTTGATTTTGCAACATTTGCTCAATGCCCATTTCATAGATCAACTGATGGCGGTGCGAAAGGATGCTGCCCTCAATTTAATCTGAAGTGGCATGTTCAAAAATCTTACAGCCAAAGACCCTCTCTAACAGGACCAACGGCGTTGGACTAAACATTTCTGTTGAAGCAACAAGAGCCAAGAACTCCACCACAGCTGTGTTCAGCTTCAAAAGAAGATGGTAAAAAGAAGCGAGGATGCTAAAGAGATGCAAAATTGGCATTAAGAAGGATCAGATCCTTACAGGTAGCATGCAGAGAAAGCAGAGACGCCATACAGATAAACCAGGTAGTAATGCTTGAAAGAGCAAAAGAAAACAAGAAGAACTACAAGATTAATGGAAACCAGAAAGGCAGCCTTCCCGAAGTTGATATGGTACTCAAATGGACATGGCCATGTAGGATTGTTAATTTGTGAAAATAAGGCACCTTCTCACAATTTGCTGATAGAATAATTGAAAAAAATGTTTTCTCTTCTTTCTTCAAAATGCACAAAGAGGAATGCTCAGGACCAAAAGATGTGAACACAAAACAGTATACGACTGTAAAAATCTAGAGTACATTCACACCTTGACTTCTGTGTGAAGCTTTGCCCTGCCTCCCATTCTCTCCCCCTCCACCTCACCAAATTGTGAGGAAGAGAAGGTCTAGGAGTCTACCCCCTTTCAGTTTGATTTGATATTAGGGTTGTGTTGGATCTAAACAGACTGTGAGATTTACTGAAAGAGTGTAACCACTAGCTGAAGCTAATGGTACAACACTGGAACTATACTGGGGGACCATGCAGGGTAGAAGATGCCAATCCTAACAAAAACTCATTCAGACCTTATCCCAGAAATGGTCTCAGATTCACCTATTCCCAAAACTGTGCCCAATCCAGTGAGCATATTAATAGCAGCCACAAACTATCAGGTCTAGTACTTCAGCTTGTGTCCCATTCCAATTTTACTTAGCAGCACACATTCCAAGCCTATATATTTACCCTGTTTTTAATACTTCAACTCTGAGATAGCAGTGTTCAGCTACAGTACTCCCTTCACAGTCAGAATAAAAGTCACCACAGACATAGTCATATTCCCTTCCTTCATAGACACCAGGACAGGAAGAGACATGTTTTAGTTTCAGCTCAAGAATGTGTGATGTTCCCTAAGAGATAATTTCTCCCCCAAGAATCTCCTGCCCACCTGCACCTTACATTCATCTTTCTAACAGGTACTGTGCCTGTTATATACGGAGGTCAGCAATTCCCTCTCAGCTTAGTTGCCAGCCTCTCCCAACATAACTCAGAGAAACTTGCAAGGAGTCTCGAGTAGGAAAATCCTGCAAAGAGGCATGATCTCCCATGTCAGGACACAAGGCTAGAAAGAACATAGCACAGTTTTTGATCATCTTTCTGAACTGTTTGCTAGGAGGTGGCAAATCTTTGCTTACCTGAATGAAAGTAGCACCCTCTACTGCTGCCTTCAGGTCTGTACAAATGCTAATGAGAGCAAACTGCTGTTCCGCACTAGATGATCCTTTCAGGAATCCCGACTTCTCCATCTCTTTCATTTGGTTGCTGACAGAAACAACACAGACACATTTCAATACTTTATAATTGTTAAGCCACCATTAATTTTTTAAAAAGCTTCTTAACAAACCAGTAGTACTATGCTATTTGCCATGCCACTGCATATATTCAGAGCCAAAAATATAAAGGTTAATTTCAGTGGCTTCCCTTTGCTCCCCCCTTTTATAAGGTGGTTTTTTTTCTTCTCTTCAAGAAGAGACAGCTCTAAGATCTACTCCTAGATGCAGGATTGCCTCTTTGTAGGAACAGCTCTTTAACTGTACATAAATAAATAAATACATTACACACAGTCAGGAGCCCTTCCTAAAAAACCTGTATCATTACATGTTTGTTTTTTTTTTTTTTAATATGTAACTAACAGAGCAAATGTCAAAAAATTCAAGTACTTCTTAAATTGAGTGGCCAAAGCTTGAAATGAATGTTTGAGTACACACCACTGCTAGGTGGTCACTTTTACACACATTGCTTTTACCTTCTCAGTAGAAGTCTCTACAGTCTGAAGCCCTCAAACATCCAGAGCAAGCAAGCTATTTTTCAAAACCACTATAAGTCACTTTGAGGAACAATTACCACAGAAATTAAGTGGGATTAAAATGTCTGATTGCAATCAACCTAAAGGTATTTGGTGTAGCCATTATCATGCTTAAATCTGTTCAGTTACCTCAAGCCAGAATTCCTCTGAGCCTTTGGTTATTATTCAGCAAAAACTGCTCATCCTGAATACAGGAGGAAATTGAACTCATGAATAGTGGCAGGGCAAAAATCCCTTTATTCTCCCTACCAACCTAGTTTTGAAGCATTGGCTTCTATTTGGATGCCTTTTTACATGATAAATAAACTGCCCTTGCCACTCGGAGGGTAGAAAAGCTGTAGTGATTAAAAAAAAAAAAGGTATAGAAAAAGTGTATTTTTGTACTACACAAATCATACCTGAATATAGAAATAACCAGTGATCCATCATGTGTTTTGTAAGTGACAGTGGCGCTGAAGCACACGTGACAGTCTTCATGAGGGGCTTTACAGAACAGTACACATTCAATGGGAAGAACTTACTTATATCGGCCCAGACAATCTCCACTCCCAGTCACACCTCAGACCTTTATACACCCACCCAGTTCCCTCAAAGCATCCAGACAGTAACACTGAATTTATCTTTGTACCTAGAGACTCAGGGGATATACATGTTTGTCACAATCTACAGCAGTCAGACAGACACTATTCTTATGAAGCAGCACAGGCAGCCAGTCCCAGGGTCAGGATAACATCAGCCCCAGGCCGCTTCTCCATTCCAGCTCTTACACCCTGGGGCAGACCTTCCTCACTGCCTGCCAATGACACCACTGCAGCCACCAGCAATCCTAAGCACACAGACAGGGAGCAAGTGGATCCCAGATCTCAGCTGCTTAGTGAAGCTGTAGGAGGTGTCTACACTTTTCAAGCAGCATTTAAGTGAACTGAGAAGGGAGAGGACTTACATCACACTGCCTCTTTTTCTCTCTACACCTTTCAGACCATCTGCTGAGCAATGTGTGATAATGCACTCACACTTTGTCAAACCATCCTTTTATTTAGAACTCTTTCCTCTCAACAAGTATTGTTGACATAGGTCAAACAAAAATATTAAGCTTCCTCTTCCAGACTGTCCTGAACAAAATGGTTGAGATTCATCTCACCTACTCTGTCAACACGCACACCTGAAACAACCATCTTCAGCTCTCTTTTAGAGAAGGAACAATTGTTTCAGGTGCATTTGTCTGATGTTTTTTAGACATCCAAGTAGGCAATCCATCTTGTCTTACATTGGAATTACCTATTTTCCATCCCAAGAGAAAATAGTTCAGAATGAGAATTTAGACCATAGTATTCCGAAGTCAAAGATGAAAATTTGCTGGGATTTATTTAAAGATAATCCAGTTCCTATTCAACTATACAGAAGCAAGTCACACCTCAGCCAAGATTCACCAAGCCCTCCGATCTTTAGCTTGAACTGGCTCACTATATCTATCATTCAATTCCAAAGAATCAGAATTTTACTTCAGCATCCATGTGGTTGTGCTGTATCCAAGAAAATAGAGCAAATATAGGTTATACTAGTTGTATCATGGCTTTATTAAGAGGTTATAAACACCCACAGCTCTGCAAGTTATTCTGATATCCTTTCTCCTACACCAAGTATCAGAAAAGAGAACATTTGTTTCCCAGCAAACAAAATAGCTTTGCAGCAATATGTTATCCTGAGAGCAGCCCCACTAAAAATTACACGCATTCAGGTCACTATGGACTTTGCACATTAAACTCAAAGTATTTCAAATAACTTGGGAGCAGGTAAGATGTCAGCAGAGGTTCAGTTTGAAGTTCTGTTGAAGTGCACCTTACAAGCCAGAATATACACCTATATTCCAGACTGGGAAAAATAAAACCACCACCAAATATCCACATGTACGCACACACGCGGTGCTAACTAATACCGGCATTAACTTTCTCCTCTTCAATTAATCTCTTCAGCAATTAACTCTAACTAATCATTTCCATACTGCAAGTCCTAATACTTCCTCTTTATTTTTGTAGTGGATGATCATGGACAATGATATTTTACTCTTTGAGGCAGAGCACACCTTGGTAAACCATTAGACAATCCATTTCGTTTAGATTGGACAAGAGTTTTGAAAAGGTTCAATTAATTCTAAACTGGAAAACCAAGCCAAGAGTCATATGCTTTTTAGACACTGCTCAGGTCTGTCCTGCTTGCTTCCCTGAAGTCCCTTAGACTTGGCACTAAAATTATTTTTACCAAGTTATGCAGTCCAAAACTGATGAAGAGTTCCACAAATATCTTTCTGCCTCTTTTCTCAAATACAGATCTAGACTCAAAAGCCTAGACCTTTCCTATCCAAAGCTAAAGAAGCCAGAAATTCCTTTTCGTAAGTTCTGTTTAAGAGCACTTCAAGGTAGAAAAAGAATATTAATAAAATGTGCTCAAGCACACATCCCTCCCTAGGCAAAGCCACAGAAATCAGCAGGAAATCCATCAAGTGTCTGGAGGAATTCCCCATTTAGTTTCTTACTGACACAGCAAATGAATGGCTGGAAAGCACACAATTCTACCTCTTAAGCAATTTGCATGGCAAGAATTAGGAAGCAGGAATCTTCAACTCCATTTCCCAAGCTCACAAGGTACATACACTACAGCTTGCTAGGCAGAAACTTCACCCAACACTTAAGGTTTCTAGAACACTAAAGGTGCCAGTGCTTCATTTGCAAAAAAATGGATGCACCTAACATAGAGTATCCAAACTCCTAGCTACCTCACACATTGTGAGGCAAGATAAGGAGACAAAAAGTCTTAACTATTGATTCGTCTGAAGTTCATTTTCCATGTGCTCTTGCCCAAATACAGCATACTCTTGTTCATAGGCTATATATATTGCTTAGAAAAAAAAAAAAAAACAAAACACACCAAAACCCCCCCAAAAAATCCAACCAAACAAATTTCAGTTTGAAGAGACCACAACGGAATTATTTCCTTCTTGGAAGAAGGAGGTCAAGTTCTTATTCAGCTTCTATGCAATACAACATTTATCTCATCCACTCTGGTTCTCCATAATAACAGTACATGACTGCTAACTGAGGGACTCAAAAAAAGCTAGAGTCATAGACTAAGAGATCAAGCTTTTATTTTTCTTCCTCAAGCTCTCACAGAAGTTTGTAGCACCTGTCTCCTGTTCTGTATCTTTCCTTCTCTGCCACCGGTAATCATCCTGTCAATTCACCTTCTCTTTCATAAGCCATTACACACTACACTGTGCACTGATACCATTTCTTAATTAATCTGCAAAACTACCATCTTTATCCTCTGCAACTTAAGGCTGGATTTTTGTTTATCCCTCAACAAAAATCTTCCTGCTAATATCACTAATCTTCATGTTAGCTATTTATTTAAATTAGTATAGTTGTAGGGAATACGTGCTTTACTTTAATTTTGGCTTTCCTTCCCAGTAAATGCTCTTCTTTGGCAACCCTTTGACAATATACTTATTGACATTTTGGTTGGTTTGTTCCACAAACGAATTTTAAGTCTTCCAAATGCTAATACATCTTGGTATTCCCCTAAGCTATTACACTGCCACAAAAGTGTGGGAAAAGTAAGAGAGTGTTCCCTGACACTTATACATTAAGGTAGAAACCAGACCAGTTTGTACATACAACAGTGCACCACTGACCTCTAGTGGATGGCTTTTTATTCAAGGCAGCCTAGACTTTTACGGGCTCGTCCCTAGGATGACCAGAGACTGAGGTCATTGCAGCCACGTCCTTAGCGCACAGCACAAGACTTCACTCTGCAGCTGTATCGTGCACACAGCTTGGAGAGTTTCACTCAATACCTGTAAGGTCTTTGAAAAATTAATGTCCATGAGAAAATACTACTTCCTTTTAGAGCCCACACCTTTATTTACCTCCAGAGTTTTACTGTTGTACCTGTCTCCCCATGTCAACAGTACTCATGGAACTGGGCCAGAATTTGCTTCAGGTTAAGGCACCCAATCTTTAGGAACACTGCAGATCACATAAAATGCCTGGAATGCTCTTGGTTACAACTCCTACTCTGAGTCTTTACAGGAGGACCCTGCAAGCAATGCTAACACTTAACTCATCTTATTCACGCCCCACTTGCCTCACTTTTGCCCATAGCTACTACTGGGAAGTCACAGTATTCAGCACATACTGTTGCAATAAGCAAGTACATACAAGATTAAAGACCACCTAATCACAAATATATTGCCCACACCAGCAAGAAGGAAAGGAAGAGAAGAAAACACCAATACTGTTCTTTACAAGTTTAGCCAGCCACTGTTGGCTGAAGACTAGATCCATTAACCAGTCATAGCACTACAACCTAGTGCTGGCTGATACCCAAACCAACAAACCAAAACATCACTGGTCCCATATATCTCATCTGAGACACAAAAGAACAAGCAGGTAACTGAGAGCCTCTGACACAGGGACTAGGCCACTGTTCACAGATAAAATGGCCAGACAGTAAGCTGCTAAGACTCAATTGCAATTGGCCATCTGAAAGCATTAGCAAACACTTTCCTCTTCCTGCTTTCCCCAAAGGCAAAAACACAACACATCACCATGGAAAAGTCAACACCCATGAAGTCTTCTTGAAACAACAGTACAAGCTGAATCACTAAAGTATGTATATGTCCAGACAAGAGAGGTCCAGAGCTGTCAAATGCACTTCACCTATAGCAACAGCAGTACACTAAAGAGGAACAGATGCCCATGTGCCTTTGACACAGCTTTGAAGAGGTACAAAGCAAAGGACTACAGAAGAGCTGGGACACAGTATACGAGTGTGCTGATGCACAAAACCAATCAAAGTTCTGAGATCACCTGAAGCTATCACACACATAAACTGTTTTCCAGCCACAGCACTCTCAGAATGTCTACACTGGCACTTCACAAACTGGATGCTCCAACGAGAGCAAAGACTTGGTAACAGGAAAAGCAATTATGGTCATTATGTTTTTCCATGGTAAACACACTGTCATGAATACTGGAGAGTTTGAGTAGAGTTTGCAACTCATTACAAGTCACTTCTTGTTTTCTGAAGATCAGTGCTGTCTCCAAATCTAGTGACCTAAGTACGTTCACTGGTTAGGGCATCTAACAATTTAGGGCATTTAATCCTTTTGGCATCTTGGCATCAGAACTGACAAGTTTATGCTGGGAAACCTTTCTGCTAAATACATTCCAATACTAAAACAAAATAAACCACAAAAGCCTCTAAGCCTAGAAACTTCCCTAAAAGTATTAGCTATTTGGAGGCAAAAAGGAGAGCAAATCACAGCAAGTCCAGGGAAAGAGTCATCAGCTGGCTCAGTCAGGAGCTGCTGTTCTCTATGAGTCCCCATTACCTACTGAAGCTCCAGCTCTCACGGAAGCAGCACATCAGTGTGATTTACTGCAGGTTGTGTGCTATGAAATCAGTGCAAAGAAGTTCAAGTTTAACCATATTTTGATAGATACAATCATTAAAATAGTGGTTGAAGAAGCTGCATAGTTTGTATTCTTATCACAAAAACTATGCTGTCCTGAGACCAGGTTTTTTAACTAGAATGTTACAACAGCCAAGATACACAAGTTAATTATAAATTGAGTTAAGAACACCTTACGTAAAAGGCAAAACCTGCCTTGAACTCAGCTGAACTTGCCTTGAACTTATCAATGACTTGAATGAGGGGGCAGATGCCTCCACAGAGTTCACTGATGACACAAAGCTGAGAGTAGTGGCCAATACCCCAGAGTGCTGTGCTGCCCTTCAGAAGGGCCTCAGTAGGCTAAAGAAATGGGCAACGTGGAAGTTCAACAAAGGTAAGTGCAGGATCCTGCACCTGGGGAGGAATATCCCCATGCACCAGCAACAGGCTGGGGCCTGACCTGATAGAAAGCAGCTCTGTGGAAAAGAACCTGGGGGTCCTGGTAGACAACAAGCTATCCATGAGCCAGCAGTGTGCCCAGGCTCCTCAGTACAGGACAGACATGGAGTTCCTGGAGCACATCCAGTGGAGGGTGACAAAGGTAATTAAGGGAGTGGAGCACGTCTCTTACAGGGAAAGCCTGAGGGAGTTGGCCCTGTTCAGGCTCAAGAAGAGACAGCAGAGGGGACCTAAACAATGTCTAAAGTATCTGAAAGGAGGGTGTCATGAGGATGAAGCCAGGCTCTTCTCAGTGGTGCCAAGCAATACAATGAGAGGCAATGGGCAGAAACTGGAATAGAAGTTCCACCTGAACATGAGGGAGCACTTCTTCACTGTGAGGGTGACTAAGCACTGCAACAGATTGTCCAGACAAGTTGCAGCCTCTTCTTCCCTGAAGATATTCAAAAGCTGTCTGGATCTAACATGCTCTAGGAAACCCTGCTTGAGCAGGGAGGTTGGGCTATATGACCTCCCTTCCAACCTTACCCATTTTTGATTCTGCAAACTCCTATACGGCAGCACATACAGGCACAGAACAGTACAGACCCACTCAAATTGTACTCTATCCTATTATGCATGACACGTTATGCTTCATTTTTTCAAGCTGAAAACCTTGGAAGGCTAAAATCCTCATTCCGTGATTGTTTTATTAGAAAAAGAAAAAATTAGGGGTAAATGCTGTCCTTAGTAAAAAAAGTTTTGTAAAAAAAGTTTAGTAAAATAGTTTAATAACATAGTTAAGTAACACAGTTTAGTAACATAGTTAGTAAAACTGCCACCTCCACAATAATCCAGAATCTTATCATATCCCTATGACAGCAGTTGTGAAAAAAACCAAAAGCATCTGTCATCTAGAGATGCAACAGAGATGTTTGGTTGGACTAACATCTACCTGGAAAGAAAAAAAAGTAAGAGAGAGATTTTCCTCTTCTTTTGTTATCAAGCCTTTTCTAGCAAATCTCACTAGATATCACATACTGCTTCACTTCTGAACTCCAACAACTGAACTGACCTACAAGGGGCTTCTCAAGTAATTTTTTTAGCTTTAAGCCCTGTTACAGAAAGAAATGAGGATGCAACACAGCATAACCCTTTTTTAGGTGCACCTTACACCCCACACCAGCTGACATGTCACTCCAGGGCATCAAAAGGGAGAGCTGATGCATTTAGGTTGATGCTGATGGTGAAGCAATCTGAACGTTAGCATTAAATGCTGATAAAGCAACGTAAGTTGCGCACAGAACAACTCTATAAATGCACTCTCTCACACGCATATAAAAGCTGTATTTCCAGGACCAGCAAGAAGAGGCTGCATACCCAATCAGATACCATCCCTTCTAACATAAGAACTAGGGGTCAATCAAAGCAACTGAGGTGTCAGGTTCAAAACAAACAAAAAGGAGTAGCTCTTCATGCAGCAGGCAGTAAACCTGCAGAACACAAAGTCCCTGGGCAAGGAGGCCATGGAAAGATTTACATGGGTTCAAGGGACAGTTAGAGAAATACTTAGATGAAATCTAGTTAAGAGTTACTAAACACATTAACTAAAGAGTTACAACTGAGGCACTGAAGGTTGGGGGCAGGGTGCACACAGGCAAGACTTTAACTTGTAGCTCTTGTAATATGTGAAGCGTGGGGCTTTAGTCACAGTGCCACAGGGTGAGAGAAGAGGGCTGGAGGACTATTGGCCTGAACCAGCGTGAGTGATCTCATGTTCACACCCTCAAATTTGTTCTCCCTCTAAAGATGCTTCTCAGCTTCAACTACAACTGATTAGTACCTGTATCTTTGGTGAAAGCGGCAACTTGTTCTTCTAAGACTCAAAAATATTACTTTTAGAGTTTAAAAAACTCCAGTTAAAAAATACTAATAACTGTAGCAGAGCTCCTCAGTAATCCATTTTAACCCACTGAAACTCTGAAAGCGTTTTTGTTGCCTTTCTGTGCAAAAACTCTTATGTTTGTATATTTTAAACTTAGCCTATAGATAACCTAATGGTGGTAAGCATAATTAAACAAAAATAAACTTAAGCTCTTGAATCAGTTAAGAATTAAATTTCTCTTCACAGGTGTTAGTGACACTTGGGAACACAGGCCTTCTGATCTTAAAAGGACCTGTATTTCTAAATTAAAGCCTTCTTCAAAGCTTAAAATCTATGCTCCCGTAATAAGATATGGCTGTTCGTTCATAATTACAGCAATTCCACAGTTTCATTACAACCCCGGTCATTTCAAGTCAGGTGACCTACCGAATATTTTCCAGTGCACTTGTTAGCTGCTGTTGTGCAATATCATAAAGTTTCACTTTGAAGCCTCCAGCAGCAAACACCATGGCCCAGCTGCGACCAATGAGTCCGCTGAAAAGAAAAAGAATAAATATCAGCCAATTCATACACTAGCACTTATAGCACTTATTTGGGGGAAGAATGTCTTGCAAGCACTGCAAAAAGGAAAAAAGAGCTTGGACTCTTCAATATTCAATTAAAAGTTAAGTTGATATTGATAAAAAACAAAAGTTTCTAACAGCTACTAAAGTCACAGGCCCTCAGCAATTCAGAAAGTACCCATAAGCATATGAAAAGGGAAAAAGCCCTCACCTAACCATGGGTTTGATACTACTTTTTCATCTAGCCACCTCTAGCACTACCTTTACTTTTAGATGAAGCACTTTAACATGCTGAATACACACAGAACAGTCTGTCTGCATCTTTTGGTGAAAACATATTACTAAGCACTACATAGAGAAAACTTGTAGTAACCGACAATTTTATCGTGCCTCTTGAAACAATGCAGGTTTTAACTTAGTTAGATGTATAGCAGGCATCAGCCTTTTCAAATGGAAGCCCCAAGTCACAGTGTCACAAGCTTAAGTAACCTGAGATTACAAAAAAAAATTTAAAAATAAAAAAAAAATCCATAGTAGAGACAAGATCAGAACTCCATACCCATGACTGTTACAGTGGGGCTTTTGATAATTACTTGCATTTCCTGTCATTTTCAAGATCACCTTATCAGCATTAAACTTAAGTGATCTCTGGCAACTGGAAAATGTAAGGCCGCTAGGGCATCAATAAAAGATTAAAAAGGGAACAAAAGTCAGAGATAAAGCAGCAGGATAGATGAGAAAAGAAGGAAGAGAAAACAGGAATGTGTTCAGCCTTTGGTTTAAGTATATATTTTAAAAAAGGATAAAAACAGGAAGCTTCAGGAAATAGCATGAATAAGTGGAAATAATTGGGACCAAAAAAAAGAAGTCAAGCTTTGCATTTAGTCTTGTTAAGCAGACAGTAAGGTCTCACTAAAAATCTACCATTTAAAAGTAAAAACACAGAACTTTCATTGTAGTAAGTCTAGACCTCTTCAGTTCTCAGGCAAGTTACAGAATAGACTTATGGAACAGGTAAGGTATGGTCAAGGTTTGTAAGCTACTGTAGTCTCCTGGCTAGCAAGTATTTATAAAACTTGAATCACTTAAACCTTAAACAAGTAAATCTGAGCTGCCAGTATCTTTATAAACTTGCATCATCTCTCTAGATTGCACTCTTAAATTAAGTTTTCTTAAAACAATGTTTCAAAAACAACAGAAAAAAAGAGGTTTATTTCAATACAGGTTTTTAGGTCTGTGGGTTTTTTTCTTTTGAACTACATAGAACACAAAATAAGTCAATGGTAGGTATCAGTCCTGCACTCTTACATCATTGTACACAACAGCATCATTACAACCTGATGTTACCATATTTGACCCCAAGACAATGTTTTTTGAGACTTTAAGTACTGTTATTTTGAGTCCAGTGATAGATCAAGTGTTAAGGACCAGATCCGCTCACATACCTTCTGTGGGTGCTACCAGAAACACATTTTCTGCCTTCAGTGCAACACTGCCACAGCAGCCACAGCGAGCAAGAGCCCAGCTTTCCCAACCCTTCACTCATGGGGAATAAAAGTTTACCAAGTGCCAACAGTAAGAGCTACTTTTGTCAGTGTCACACAACAGCACAGAGACTCATGTCTTGAGGCTTCAAGTGGTCTTGCTAGTGAAGTTTGCTGCAGCCCACACTTCCACACCAAGGTACAGCAGACTGCTACTGTCTGGCACGTGTTTTCTCTCCCCTCCAGATCATCGTTCAAGTAAAGAACTTCAGGTTCAGCTCACAATGAGAGCATGAAACAATGCATTCCCACACAAGCCAGAAATATTGCTGTATCTTGTGGCAATTAAGTATTACTTCAGGAGCATCTCGGAGGAACTTACAAGTTTCTTGACACAGTTGGCAAACAGGACGTTAAAGCTGTGCTTGGATTTCTCCACTCTTGCACTTACGCACACAAAGCATTGCAATGAAAAAGGCCACCAGTCCTCTGCACCTCAAGAACGACTTGCTTCGGTAGAGATGCCGTGGATGTTTTTTTGCTGTTTGTTTTATGGTAGCACAGGGCTGTCAGGGCGTTATGCAAAGGCACTCTAAGGAGCCCAACAGGTGCATCCCCGCCCAGTTCCCGAGATCCAGGAGCAGCACGACCCCGCAGCTGGCCAAAACCCACCGACTGCACCGACCCAGCACCTCGCCGACACATCCGACGCCTACAGCAGCGGTGACATCTGAAGCAGAGCCGTACCCGCCACTGAGTCACCAAACCCACCACCACGCAGGCCGGGCCGTGTCGGGACGGCGCCCGAGCCCCTTCGCACGCCGCGGGCATCCGTCCCCAGAGGCGCCGAGCGCTGCCGACCGCTTCCCCCAGCTGCGGGAGAGGAGAGGCGTTACCTGCCGATGATGGCAACCTGCGAGTGCTCCATGGCCGGGAGCGGGAGGAGCGGGAGATGCAGGAGATGCGGAACCGTCCGCAGAACGCTCAGCCCTGCCCGCGCCGCCGGGGACACCGCTGCCCTGCACGCACCCGCCCCACCCCCGCGCGCGCCAGGTCGCGGCCGCCCATTGGCTCCGCACGCCTCGGCCACGCCCAGGGGCGGGGCCTGACACTGCTCCCGCCCCAGCGCCCGAGTGCCGCCCTCGTCGCCCCGAGAGCTGTGCCCGCTCGTCCCGCACCGCCCGCTCTCGCCGCCCCCTCCTCCTCCTCCAGAAGCCAGCGGTATACTAGAGTGCATCCAACCCCCTTGCTTTTGACAAAGGCACAAATTCATTTCAAAGTTCAAATTTGAAAGGAATTCCAGGCTTCTTTTTTACATTAAGCAAGGCCTTATTATTCTCAAAAATGGCTTTATCCTCTAATTCTGAATTAATTTTCCTTTTTTGCTGTCCTTGATTTTCGCACAAAATCTCTTCAAAGCTGTGCAAAAATGTGACGATACAATGTCAGTTCTTCAAGCTGCTCTGTAACATGTACTGTTCGTGTTGGTGTGCTCACCATTACTCATTTTTTCCATTTTGTTGTAGTTCCTACTCATCTGCATATTGCTCTGTAGTCATGCCAGATGTTCCTGAACAGAAAAAAAATTTAGCATTTTAAATGCCTACTTATTATCAAAGATTATATTACTATGCATTTAATATAGCTGCGAGATACTTGCAAGTTCTCCTTTATCTCTGGCTTTCTGAAAAAAAATAAATCAATTGAAACTTAATACATTTGTTCCCAGAATAAAGGTTTGATAGTTACTTATGAAGCTCAGTGAACAACTTTGTTTGGCTATCATTTCTTCTAGTTTCCGAGAAAAAGAAGACTCACATAATCATTTGGTACATCTGCCCCCCTCACTGGCACTTTGCTAATTCCAATCACATTCAAAAAGGAGACAGAGATCTCAAAAGTATGAATTCCTAAAGGCTTCATGAATACCACTCAACAGGTAGCAGGTGGAAAACCAAGCTATCTCTTTGACTTCATGACCTTAATACCACCCACATAAGCTGAGACATGCCAGTAGCTGGGAAGTGTTAATGGAGCTAAGTGGATGTAACTGGGCCATGGAAGATTTAGGGCAGTGGGACAGAAGAGTGCACGATGCTGTGCCAGTTCTGCTGCTCAGGGTTTGTGTAGGCTGGTGTAGAAAGCAGTGTTTTATGATTTTAGCAAGTACCAGTTTTGTTCCTTTGAAGACTAATTCAAAATGCATGACTTGACACATGTTCTAAACACAAAGATCTTTGTCTAGCCAATCAATGTATATTTATTTTGTGAACTCAAGTTTTTAACTGCAAAGAAAAAAAAACATAAAACTAATGCTAAAACATAAAACTAATGTCTCCTGGGCTTCAGAAACACAGTTTCCAGAACAACTTCACCATTACTCCCATTTGGAAGTAGTTATCAATTATTTTAATACTCCTTGACCTCCTGAGATGTGTATTTATACTTAAGTTGCTGTTAACAATAGACTATAAGAGACAAAAGACATTACACATAGACAAATGGATTCAGCAGAATTAAAAGCTCAGTTAAACTGTTAAAGGAGTGTATAGGGGTTTGAGAGCTAATCACAGTCATGATAAAAGCAATTACAGAACCTTTAAGTTCTAGGGGTGAACAAAACAAATATGTGGAAATTAAATCTGAATTATATTATTATTATTAATAATATATTAGTGACAAAGCCACATGCATTACTTAATCATAATTAGGGTATGGCAGGACAGCAGCCATATTCCCCATTGTTTACAGTGATGAGACACACGGATAAGTCCGAATTGAATAGATCAAAAGAGGAGAGAGAAGTTTGCAAGAAGAAAGGAAAATATAAATAATTAAATTATCAGAAGTATAAGTCAAGGGAAAAAAATATGATTTAAAAACAAAGTGGAAGTTTGAGAAACAGCAAAGAAAGGACCTGGGCTCCACTAGGGAATGAAAAGTAGGGCTTGTACTGCCAGCAGGAGGGGCCCAGGCAGAGCAGACATGTATTCACCAGCATATTCTTTCTTCTAAGCCCAGTAGCAGTAGGAGCAGATTTGACTTGTGTTGGGAACAGTATAGTTGATCTCTCCATGTTTTTAGTCTCTCTGCTCCTCACGTGTGGAGCTGAAATCTGCTACTGGCCATGGACAAGGGCATGGGAGGAGCAGGGTGGTATAAAAGGGTCATGTAATAAGAAAGGGGAAATAACTCACATTAACTGGGAGCCACATGGAGGCAGAATCCGAAGGAGATGTGAATTTCCCTTTAGAGAAAATAAAGGAATTGTATGGTTTTAAGATATAGAGGGTTCTAGACTGAGTTTTTTGGCATGGGATGAAAACCGAGGCATAGTTCACATTTGTTAAGTATTAGGTCTGTTTAATACATTACTTGCTCACCAGAGCGACCAGAAAGTACATATGTTTGGTAATAGACTATGGCACGTTGCTACTATGATCCTAACAGTTTGGAAAACATAATGCCTTAAAAATTATAGCTTTAATTAATAACTTTATTGCTATTCTGTAGAGTCCTAACTAACAAGTTTGCAAACTGTAGTTATGTAGTGAAATTACACTACAATTAAAACTATATAATTTTAATTATCTTAGTAGTTTGTGCTGTTAATTTACATGGTCCTTTACAGTGCAAATGGTCTGATGCAAATACTACCAATAGTGCTAAAATGCTGATTCTTAATGAAGCAATCTGCAGAAATTGGAAAGTAAATAGTAGTAAAATAGATATTACAAAAGCATGATTCAGCAAAACTAGATAGAGGTATATCCTTCAATAGTAGAAATACCTGTTAACAAGATAATTTTCCTGTTGCAAATGTATTTTAAACCAAACTACAACATATGGTGGGACATATCAAAGCACTCCTGGCCCTGGCACAGGACCTCCCTCCCCAAAAATCATTCATTTAGTTACTCAGGTGGCTTAATGATTACAGCATACATTACTTGGACTGTAAACTAAACTTGCTACACTTCTTTTTGGCATCTTCCTATTCCAGCTTGCCCTCTGGATTTTGCCAAAACAATTACATCACCTTACATCATTGCAGGGTTTCTCCTGCAGCATCATCTTGTTAGATCAAGTCTTATAATCACAGCCCATGAGTGAGGTCCTGTGTTGCCACAAAGGATCCCTAGGGTTTCTGTTAAATCCTCGTGCATTTTTATACTTCACAGCACCAGGAAAAAAAAAATCGTAGATTGATACAGCTTTTAGAAACATGAAAAAAGTCTTTGAGACTCTCGTGTTGCTGCAAGGATGTCAAACGTAACAGCTGGACTGCAAGGCCTAAGGGAGTGCTTCCAAGCTCCTGACCACTAAGTATGCTCCAGCAGCATAGGCAACATGCAGCATTGGGAGGGGCTGGACTGAGCGACGGAGCTAAATGTCTCTGAGATTAAATAGCCCATTGAAGTGTTGACCCATTACCATTCTCCAGTATAATTTCCAGTATGCTCAGATTCCACACGTGCCAGGGACCACTTCCAATAACTGGTTTGAGTGTATACACCCAATTTTGGAAGGTAAGAAAATTTGACAACACGAACATGGTCAGATTCCGCTGGTGCCTTGGCACCACCGCATTTACAAAGTAGATGTACTGCCTCCTTACCACAGTGCCTCCTTTCCACTGCCCTAGGTATTTGGGGGGAAACATCAGAATAGCACTGGGCACCAGTATGCCCAGATCTCGGATATGGACAAGAGGAATAGCAGAGCTAGGGCTCTTGCCACAGAATCTACCTACCACTCAGATACATATTGATGCATCTGGGGACAGGAGAAAATTTTTAAAAACATAGGCTCAATAATGCATGAGGAATCACAGGCAGAAAAAGGGGTGCTATAAATGTATATATTTCTTATGCTGAAGTTTATAATTTGAGGTGAGTAATGCAACTGAAATTTTTTCCCACCTTAAGTCTGTTATTCTGCAAAATACTTGTACTCCAGAAATTTCAGGTATAAATATTCTCACGTCCAAAGGTCTCAAGTCTGAAGTTTCTATGTGAAAGTGGTTCATGCAGGTTAATGCAAGAAGTGATAATGTCTTAATACTTCTTTATGTTATCTTGGTTTCTCTTGATGGGAGACAGAGTAGAAAGGCCTTTCATTCATATCCTCTGCACCTTATCTCTCCAAAAAGGACTTTGAGGCTGAAAGGTGAGCAGCAGAAGGCCCTGACATTGCATAATGTGCACAATCTCTGACCATAAAAAGGGTGTTCTGACTGACTTTGTAATGTATATTGTCTTTGCAGCCTTTTTATGCCATTAGCATAAGGCAGTAGGGGTGGGTTACAATTAGTCTCATAAAATATTTTCTCTCTCAAAAATACTGTAGGCTTGTTCAGAGATCCCTGCTCTATTCTGTTTCCCATTTAGGCATGTGAAACTTTCCCCAGAGTATGATTTGCTGTGAGCAAATCAGCTGACACTCCTCAGGGTTACCAAAATACCAAGAGAAAGTAGTAAAAATGATTGGAGGAATCATCTTTTTTAAAGACATTAGGGATTTTAACTTTTTTATTTTTTTTTCAGAGACTGGCATATGGGAAGCTTCAGCAACTATTTTTTCTTTTTTAATTGAGCTTTCTGATTTTGAGAGCAGATTTCTCAGCTTATAGGAAAAAATGGTGTGGCTGAGCACCTTGACAGTGAGTGGTGACAAGGTCTCTGCCCAGATGTGCTGGATGCTGCCTGAGAGCTATCCCTACTGGTGGAGTCCTACTGTGCTCCACAGGATACATGCCAGCAATAATTTGGAGCTTGAGAAACATGCTCTCAGATACTCTTAGGTAGGGGGCACATGCGTGAGTGCAAGCTTTGACAGCTATGCAAGAAGCCATTTACTTTATCAAAGTATATTTGCTTTTATTCCCTGAGGAAATCTATAGCAGAAAAGAACAATTTGCACCATAAAATGACAGTGGGTTGGCTTTGTTACTGGGAAGAGACACTAGGTGTAAAGATGGGAGA